TGGTGTTTCATCTTTATGTCACTAAAGCTGATATTAATTTGTGATTTGAAAATCATAGACATAACTTGTGTTTTTTTAGAAGAATTTATTAAAAGAATATAATTTGTAAGAGAAATATCTATGCATACAATATACAAAGTATAATACAGATGGAAAATCTGTGTGGTAAAAGTCGTATATAAATGAATATTTTCGACATATTAATTCCCATATATTTTTCTACATTTGTACTAAGATAGAGTTCAAAATGTAGAGGTTCAAAATTAAATGAATATAAAAATATATAATAACAAGGGTACTGTCTTTTTCAGACCACAAGATGAATTAGATCGACTGCAAGGAATATTCATCACTGCAAAACATCATTTGCAACGTTAAAAATCAGCATTATATCATAAATATTGTAATATCAATACTCTAGATTCCTAATGATTCCATTGTAAGGCGACGTAGTAAATCGCAAACTACGCACATAACTATTACTACCATTGACGTCATTAATGTCACAGTAAGTATCTTCAATTATTTTTACATATTATTAGAGCAAATGATATTTCAGATGCAATACCGATATCTTCCAGCGGAATATTGTTTTTTTGCAGGAAGCTCAATCCGAATCTTTCTATAAAATTTAATTCATTTCTCGAAGCCTCAGAGATTCCTTCTGAATATCGAATATTCCCAGATTATTTATCTTCACTCAAATTCCCAATTATAAAAAGATTTACTAAACACAGTCTATTGTTAATTTGTCTAAACAAGGGACGGAAAAATAGACTATAATTCTTCGCTCATTAATTTCCTGTATTCTTGTTGGTCTTGAACCATTTTCTTGAATACGCGATATTTTCGAAAGTGATATCTGAAATTAAAAGATATATATAAAAAATGTTTAATAAAAAATTTTATTTTTATAAAATTAAAAAAATATCTTTTTTAAATTAATCTTCAAATAATAATATAAAATAGAAATGTTTTCTTTAAAGTTAATTTGTATTCTATCAGAATTTTAAAGAAAAAGCAATACTTTTTTTAACTGTTCTCCTATCTTTTGCACATTAATCATATTTGCTTACTTGTAACATTCGTTCGTCGGTTTTACTATGTTCGCCGATCCCGCCATTCTTTGAATAGTCTCGTGTATAGAATATTTTCTCGTAGCACATGCTCCAAGGATCGCCGAGCCTATCAAAACCGATTCTCGCTCCATGGGACAAAGTACCGGTAACGCCAACACATCGGCTTGTATTTGGATAAACAGTGGATTTTGACTAAGTCCACCGCAAACTAGTATACTCTCTATGTTATGGCCGGCCGCCGATAAGACTTCAATTATATGCTTCGTACCGTACTGAAAATTAATATAATGTTAATTTGAAAATATATTACCTTATCAATTATCTACTACTGCTTCATAGTCAACGTTTTATCTTCAGAATTAAAATCTTATTGTGAATAAGATGATTTTAGTAACCAAAATCACTTCAATATCTAATTTTTAAGTATACTAGTTTTAAAAAATATTCCTGCATTTTCACATAGAATGTATGAAATAGTGAAGACAACTGATTTAGATAGAATTCTTTGCACTATGGCGTTTAATGAGTTAGAACTATTTTTAATTTGTTTTTAACATACCGTTAGTGCCTGTACTGCTGCTAAGTATAATAACGCTAGATTTTCCTGATCCACAGATAAAGATAATCCAGATATCTAAGATATAGATAAATAATACATAGTATAAAATTATATCCATCTTTTTATATCAATATAAGATTCAAAGAAAGAATATGTGTCTCAATACCATTCCTTTCAATGTTGGATCAGCGAGAGGCGAACGATTACCATGGAAATCCGGCCATACATGTATATCCTTCGTCAGATATGACACGTTCTGCAGATTCTTCTGCTCAGCCATAACGTGCAACAATTCGGACAAGTATTGTTGAATATGTCTGAAATAAATTCGTTTTCGTACATATTCGTTCACAGTCTCGTTTCGACGAACTCACTTATTGCCACTCAAAGTCATCAGGATTCCCGGCGTCGCGGGATGCGTATCAATGACGTGATCAAGCAGCTTTCCGGTAGCACTTTGACCTCCCTCATTGAGCCAGAAACCGGGCACCATCGCGCTATAATACGGGCCCCAAACGCCATTTACAAATATCTTGTTTTCATTTACTATCATATGACAAGTTGAAGTGCCGCAAATCAAAGCTAAAAATTACAAATTACAACATACTTTATATTAATTCTTTTCCCTTTTGGCTGAGCAATGCATATCGTAAACAGTATCATGCGCACCCAATCGGTTGGAGAAATTCGAAGACACATCTGACGCGTAACATCCAATCATTCCGAGACCACCAGCGTGTGCATCAATCAGCGAGGTTCCAACCGGTGTTCCTTTCAATAATCCCAATTCTGCCGCAGCTTTCGTCGACAGTCCGAATTCAATGGCATCACCAGGTACCCTTACATCGTTCCCTTAACATTAATATTAATCTTTGAGGTAAAATAAGAATTCAACCATAAAATTCTTGTGTTTTATATATTTAAAATATAATATAACCGCGTTCACAGCAGAATGCTTATTTTGCAGTATAAATCCTTCAACAGTTGCAAAATAAACAAAATAAACAAAAAACCGTGTTCTACTGAACACGGCCTTTGTTTCGTAATATTGAACTAACTGAATAATTTATAATTTGAATAATTTCTTAATATACCTATTTTTCTCCAATTATCTTTTTTCAAGTCTCGTAAATTGAGCTGTTCAAAGAAATCCTCGTCCCATCCGTTCTTACCAATTGGATTAGCGCTATAGTTCCACTTACACACTAACGAACACAATGAACTGAAACAAAAATGAAAGATTTAACTGCTCTGCTTGCTTTTTTACTTAAAGGATTTAAGCATCGAGGATTCATACCGCGATTCCGATTCAGTGGCTTTCCACGTTAAGAAGTCTGGTAGGTCAAACAGTAGTGCGGCAGAATTCCAGGAGGCAGGCAAATTCTTTTTGAGCCACAGCATCTTTGGCGTTTGCATCTCGAGAGAAACTTTGCCGCCTACATATTGCAATACATCGTGACCCACAGAATTAATAAAATCAGCTTCCTCGTGCGCTCTGTGATCCATCCACAGTATGACATTTTGTTTCTCCTGTCCTAAACAATTAATATATTAATTTTCTATATCACACAATAATGTTACTATTGTTACATGAATTTAATACAAAGTTGGAGTAAGAAAGAAATAGCTATTGTTCTTTCTTTGTACCTGTAGGACTAACTGTTATTGGTAAACCTGCTTCATCTACAGCTACCATTGAGCAAGTAGCGTCAAATCCAATTCCTTTAACATCCTCTGCAGAGATGTCAGCAACAACTGACTGCGAACAGAATAAAATCACAATCTGATATACCCGTATAATCATATGTGCTGCTGCAAAAATATAATTTTACCTTAACAACGTGGCACACGGCACTCCAAATATTATCAGATGACTGTTCATAGAAGTTTGGTGCAGGATGAAATATCTCGAGCGGACATATAGCCACCTTCTTTATCTTTCCATTCGAAGTAACCAGAGCCGCTCGGACACTTCCTGTCCCCACGTCCACACCTACGAAGAAATCCATGTTTGTCGCAGCTGTGGACAGATTGCATCTGCAATCTCGCGTCGAGCAGAATCGACTAAATGCTCCGTATCCAACTTAAGCACGAACTGTAAGGAAGGAACGACCATCAGCCAACCATACTGCATGCGTTAATCATCGATATATATTTTAAGATGACATGACCCTGAGATAACATTAATTGCGAAGCAGATATGGAGCGAAAAAAGACTTCAAACAGTATAGAGTGTTATCAGCTAATGCTTCTTTAATCCAACAGCACACATACAAATGCTGCATTGGTGAACACAAGTAGAACATGATTTACTTGCTTCTTGTGGCTCATTGGCTACAGAATGGCTTTAACAGCAATTAGCAAAATGTATACATGCAACATATGGTATAATTGGTACTTCAAATAACAGAATATCTCAGGAGCAAAATTATTAGGCAAAACTATTGCATTGCTTGCGACATAATGATCATTGTTTGAAGTTTAGAGGCATGTAGGAATCTTTTTTTCCAAAAATTATCTTGACCTTACAATCACGACGCACTGTTATGACTCGCGACTGCCACGTTTCGCTGTTATACTTACATATTTAAATAAGGAACTGTTGTTACATACTTAGTGAAAGTATTGACAGTCACTTTAATCGACGTCAAGGTGACGTAAAGTGACATCGCGATGTCACTCGACGTGCTCTTCGGCGAGGAGGCACGGATCAATGCATGATGGATATGAAAAATGCCCTGCACGGTCGTTGTGCGAAAACTGATGCATATTAGCTCTTGCTGCATACACGCGTGCACGCACGTGTACCGTACCAAGCTGTACGCTTGATACCAATAAGACCTAACCGTACCTGAGTACGCACCGGACGCACATGTAGTGCGTGGGCGCGCCAGTTCTGACGAACCACTCGCTCGTGGCGGACGCGTCTCGACTTGGGTGCTACAGTTATTGTATATTTTTGAAAGTGTTGCCGATTTTGACCGAGCATTGAAACATACATCATCCCGCGATCTTAGACGACCCGTTCGATCTTCCTGACGCGCGTCCTTGCGACGTCATAGACGCCATAGACGCAGGCGCCCGGTGTTCGAACGGGCTTAGCCATTTTCGCGGGTATTGTATCATTTTTTTTTAATACACGGAAAACAATCCTAAACGTGATTTAGCCGTATCGACCTCCTATTGTTATTTGGAGGCGTGAGCCATTAATTAAAGAAGAAGAAGCGTGGGCGCGCAATTGCGTCCGCTTCGTACAGTTTGCGCTCATTTTCGTTTCCGTGGAAATAACATTTGTCACTCTGGACTTTTCTCTGGATTAATTTTTCTCAGGACGGCGCGGACTTCCAAAATTCCGGTGGATGTTAAATTAGGAGCGGAATCGCGTTTGCGATTGTCAGTACTGTTGTCGTTGGGATAACCTGAAACATGGTCCGCTTTAAAAACAGGTGACTCGTTGAACTCATCGTTGAACTTATATTGAAATTGTCAAATTTTCAATTTGGCTTGTAACCGTATCCTACTGTTATTACATTTGCTTAGATACGTTGTTTTCACAATAAAGCCACATAACGACAGCGATGACAAGCAGGCGGCATGGAAGAATACGCATGTGTCTAATGCAATTAAATTGAAGGTGCAACAATTGTATGGGGATGTTGGAGTCGCAGCAATAAAGGACGGCTTCGACGGTAATTTAGTGTTGGATATTATATTGGATGTTAGTTCTTTAGATAATTTAGTCTTCATTTATTCGTTATTTTGTTATACATCAAAATCAGAAATATATTTACTTTCTTTATATAAATGAATGTTTACACATATAAAATATAATTTAATAAAATCAATATTTATATCTAATAATACAATTTTAGAGTTTAAATAAAAATTTTCTCATTTTATGTTAATTATTTTTTAAAAACATGTCTACTTCTTATTGAAATAATTATTTGGTCGAAGTTCTAAATCGCTGTCAAACTTTTTGTATTACTTTTAAATACAATGTAGCAAAATCTGTAATTTTGGTGTATTTTTTAGTCTAAATACAAGTTTGTGTTTTGCTGCAGCAAAATACTGTAACGTACAAACGAAAATAGCAATAGTAAGGCTGAGGCACGGGCCTCACAAATATGCATTACATGCTATTCCACTGATAAACGACATAGGTGGGCGACTAGTCAAAACGAAGATTCTGTATGTAGGAGCGACTCTGAAACACTGTTTCCTCTTTATCAGAGTAAGATTTGCGATATTCACCTATTTTACTTGTGTCTAGTCGAGAAAGAAAAATATTTTCATTCCTCTATTTCTCTTAGAAACATCAGGAAAAGAAGCTGGAACAATTATGGTCAAAATTGCCAACAGAAGCCGAGAGGAAACGGATGGAGACTTTTCTGATGACTCTGACCCCCGCTATGAAGGACTTTAAATAAAAATCATCGTAAATAATAATTAATTGTTTTTGTTTTAAGTTTACAAATAAAAATAAAGTTTTAATGTTAACTCATGGATTAAATACATTAATATCAGTCACAAAACAACTTCATGAAATCTCTACATTTATATCTTTCCACAATGAAATAAGCGACGTCGTTAAATTCCCTCTTCTCTTTTTTTTATATTTTGCTTCCAAGTTTGACTTGAAGTTTAAGTTCCAGTTCTATCAATGTAGATAGACTTTAATCTTCGTCAACTTATCATCTTTTTTATTAATTCTTAGAGCCGGTTCCACCAATGTAAGATTAACTTTAATCTCGGTTTAACTTATTACTTATCTTTTTCTCATTCTTATAATTAAAAAAAAAATAAAAAGTAAATTGACCCGAGATTAAAGTTAATCTTACATTGATGGAACCGGACCTTAGAATTAAGAAAAGATGAAGAGTTAATTGAATCAAAATTTAAAATTAAACTTTGATAAAGACGGGCATAGAGTTTTTCGAGACGCCTCTCTATGATGCCGTTATCTGCAGAGGATATCTTTAGCGATCAGACCACAAGGACCGTTGCCACCTCTCGCCAGTTGTCGCTGTTCGTTGCTGGAGGTCTCCCTTCTCGCCCGCCATCTCCACGGTGTATCCCGCCGTTATCCTGCCGTTTGCCGTGCACTCGTTTGGATCGGTTCAAATCATCTCGGAGCGTTCACTAACGGCAACGAGACGATTCCAAAGCTACTCCGCGATCCGTTGTGAACCTAGAGACTGTATACCTGCAATTCGCAATCGACGAGGAACCTGAAGAGGTGCGCATCGAGAGAGGAAAAGGGACTCCCGAGAAAACTGCGGATGTTGATGCGGGACCGTTCTCGCCCCCCGCAGTCACTGTATTTACGTTGGACGGTTTTAACGAACGGCAAGATAAGAGACTCCTCGGCATCGACCGCGTCTTCCGGAATCGTGATACTCGGTGTCTGACCGCACAGTTCCATCCGGGATAATTGTCGTCTTGGTACACGCCGGCGAATTCGAGGTAAGCGTTTCCTGCTCCCCTCCCCGCTATCGATCATAGTTGTTTAGACTCGCTCCTGCTCTCGGATCCACCCTTTTGTTATGAAATTACGACCTCGGTGGTGATCGCCGTAGACTTGTAGGTGAAATCTCCTTCCGAGCATCGACGACGACGTTCTCCGAGAAATTTTTACGATGTCTGGCAAAAATTACGACGTACATATCGAGCGTACATATTAGCGTGGAAAAACATGGACGAGATACCCTGTTATATTTACATGATCCTTGACATTCAACCCTTAACTATAATACATTACATCTCGACATATCTGTATCTGAAAGATAATCCTTGATATTCAATCTTTAACTGTGGGTGTTATGCTGTGTTGAATCTTGGACTCCTGTTTTTATTTAAATTTTATTTAAATTTTTATTAAATTTTTATTTAAATATGAAAGAAAAGGGAATTGAAAAAATAATCTTCATTCTTTACTTGTGTTGTGCATTTTATTGTATTTTTAATTGTACTCAAGATAAAATTTTATTCGTTTTTCTTGAAAAGAAAATAATTGATCAAAATTTCATGATAAGCAAGAGACAAAAATATATATACGTAATTTATATAATATATTTTAAAAAATTATTGATGTTGAATTGTAGATATAATCCCTCAATTGTAGATATAATACTATGTGAAGTCCTGGGGATTCATATTTTTAAATATTAAAAAAGGAAATGAAAATAACTCCACTGTATACATCTACTTGCTGCTGCAAGGCAGATGTCCCCAATAAACACCAACTAACAGTAACAACATCACTGTTATAATTTCATATTCAACGATGAAACAGTTACATAGAACATGTGTTATACATTTAGACTGTTGAAAATTGTAATAATGATGTTACTGTTAGTTGGTTTTTTCTGGTTCGATGCTTGAAGATCTTCATTTTTTTGAGATAAACATTCAGAAGAAGAATAATTGTATGTAATATACATGTGATATTCATGCATTGTATGAAAATGTAATAATTGTATAAATGTCGTCATAGTAATATCTTTCTGTAAATCTGAGGAAAGCTTTCATAAATCGCAGGATTGGTCTCAGTTTTCTCTTTCATCCTTAGTATGTGGCTGAGAACAAATTGCTTACAGATGTTTGCTTACAGATGTGTCTCTTGCTTTTTCCTTCTTTTTTTCTGCTTAAGAAAGAAGAGCTTTTTCTCCAAAAGGGGGAAAATCTGTTCGACTTTCAAGTACAGAAAGTGTAGTTAAAAACAGACGGTGTTTATAGTTATGTCACGTCATCGAGATTCTGTTTATAAAACAATAAAATGAATCATTAAATTGAATCGCATCGCAGAAAGACTCGGAAACGTGTGTTTATCAAAGTAGGACTGACGAGATAAATTGAGGATAGTGACTTAAATACGATTAAATTACACATGTACGACGAACAGATAGTCAAGCAAATATTATTATTACGACGTGTGAATATTCTTAGAATAAGGAAATCGTATTTTCCGCATAATTGTTTGCCTTTCTTGCTTCTTCTTTTTTTTTTGCTTGACGATCTCGAGCAGTCGCCTGTACATTGTTTCATTTCTCGCTTCTGATTTATATAAAAATTTCAGGAGTGAAAGTGGATCTAGTCTACAAATCCGATTTGCAAGAGGAATATAAAAACGTCGTATCTAGAATGGACTGTACAAGTTATGGACTCGATTCGTTTCTCGCGTGCAACTCTAGGCCGATTCATAGTCGCGGTTCTTATGCTGATTCTACAATGAGTCGGTAATCGGAAATCTTAAGTCTTAACCAGTTTTAACCTAAATAGATAACTATGATTTTTTGCATCTATTAGTTGTTAATTGTACAGCGAATTGTTTATCTCGATTAATGAGAAGGAATAAAGTCGAATTTGGTCAGTCTTAAGAAAATCAGTAGTCTTGGTCGTACAAGTTGGCCAACTCTACCAATTCACTGATAAGATTTAGGACTACCGACTACCGACTCATTGTAGAATCAGCTTTATTTCAAGATCGTCTTAAGTGATGTCTTGAGATACTAATAGAGCTCTCTGATTGGTTCATAAAATCTTAAGATTGTACTTAGGATAGTCTTAAATATAAGAATCGACTATGAATACCGGTCTAGTCTTTAACGCAATTCGTCCCGGCGCGGTCGAATATTTTCAATCACTACATGTCGACCAAAAGGAAACACTGAAAGTTCGCTTGTTTCAATTTTCACCCTGCTCTCGCTGCGTTACGGGGAATTAATCGTCGAACAATAGCTCTCGATCTCGTTATCTTCCAAATGCATCACTCTTGTGAGAACGCAATTTAGTTAGAAAGCCACCAGCTTATTTATCACTCTGACGTAGAGTCGTTTACCAAAGCGAACGCAAGTCGCAAATGGGAAGAAAGGGCTTTCTACAATAAGCCATTACCTAAGTTTTAAATCTTAAGCCATAAGAAATTGACCGCAATCACAGTCAAATGTGAGAAGAATAATCGACTATGATTGGTCAATTTCTTACAGTTTAAGATTTAAAGCTTTGGTAATGGCTTATTGTAGAAAGCCTATAAAGCTTGTTCTACAACAGAGTGCAAGCTGTAAGCCGTAAGAAATTAACCAATCATAGTCGATCATTTTTCTCATATTCAACTGTGATTGCTCAATTTCTTACGGCTTATGAATACTGACTTCCCTTGTGATTGCAGAATAGAATAATTGACGTAAAGCAACGTGGCCGAATGATCCTGACCGTATATCTAATGTCTGCAACGTGACGAGATCACGAGAGAGCCACAAACTCTCGCGTTATAGTAAGTGGTTAAAAAAAAGTCATGTCCCGACATGTAGGATGAAATTGTATCTTACTTTCGCGTCCGTGCGAAGAAAACTCCGCGGTCGCGCGGAATGATCTGAGGTGAGTGAGTCTCGGAGGAAAGCGCGCGCGGATGAGACGTTTTATGGCTGTTACGGTGATGCGATCTCGAGCTTCCGCTCGCCTATTAATTCGCTAATTAGCGCAAGTCCATACGCGGTGTCGAAGATCTCTTATACGATAATTAGTTCGGTCAGTTAACGAGTGGCCTCAAAAACTTTCACGTACTTTTGCCGCCGGTACGCCCCCCACGACACGTATATGGTAATTTAATGTAATTTGATAGGTTTTTACATGTTTTTTTTTTATTACAGCAATTATGTATAAACCGGGACTCGCGAAGAACTCTGAGATTTTCTCTTTCTTTTTTAATCCTGCACATTACGCGAAAAACAACTTTCATCGCTTAGTATATATGAAATTTTTTGTACCTATATATTATTTATTTGAGTCCATCATTGCAGAAGTATTAAAGTAGGGCAGTTTTAGAAAGATTACATTTATTAAAATCTACTTTAATTACTGTACTAGGAAAAGAACAAGTCTACATTGCTTAGATGTTTGACATACTAATGTTCGAAGAAGCGAGTCGCATGCAGCATGTAGCGAATGTAATGGATAAGATTCGTTCGCATAAGCGAGCCTCGTGGAATGATTTTAGCGAACACAGACGATAAATATATCCATGGCATGGACTCCGAGAAAGAGAAAGAGAAGGAACAGGGACTGAATTCGAGACTCCGAATCGAGTCTCTTGAGAGGAAGAGAAGGAATGGAATGTTTCTCACTTCTTTTTGCTTTCACAAGCCATGTTTTGATGATTTCTTTGACATGCTACGCGAACAACAGCAACATTGCACACGTCAATTACCGACAATCACTTCACATTAGCGTTTCCTGCATTCTACGACGTTCCTTAATTCTTCCACTTTTATTATCCCGCCAAAAGTATAGCTTTTTGTGTATATTTAAGATGTGTAAATTAAAATATATATGAAAGAATAAATTGATATTAAAAGGAAATTTAAAAAATATTATTTTATTCGGAAAAGTTTGTGAAAGTCTAAAAATGTGAGTGAGCATTTTTATAGAGGTAAATATTAAAA